CCGCTAACGGCATCTATTAGAAACGCGTTAACAAATGCCGGGATTAGCCTCGCAGTTTAGCCACCCCGCCGAGCGGCGGGCCGTGTATCCTTCCTTCGACGGATACAGAAATGCCCCTTCGCCGATTCGGGGCCGCGTAATCCGCGATATACGTCTCGGCACCGCGAACGCCTGCTGGGATTTACCCGCTCGGTTTTCGGGGAAGCTATTGTCTTCGGGAGGACGCCCGATGCCTCGAGTGTTCCCTATTCGGGAGCGATCGAGCGTGTATCATTTGAACCGCGAGGATCCCGATCGTGAGTTATTGGCCTTGTCGAGGCTTGTTGGGAGTTGTAGGAAGAAGACCTTTAACGAGGTGATTTGGATGCTGAATTTGAAATTCTTGAGCGTTTGGCTACGCAGGAGGTTGCGTCGAGTATTTAGAAAGTTTATTGAAACTAAGGAAATACTGAATTGAACTGGATGAAGGCAATGTAAAATAATCATGTTTAATGTGTGGGTTAATGAGAGATGTAATTGAATTAGAATTCATTTACGTCTGATCTAAGCGAAGTTCGCTGCAATTATTGTCAACAGTAGCTAAGGGTTAACAGTGGCAGTTGAAGTAACTTTGTATAGTAACAGGAGATTTGAATGTTGAAATGCAAGCGTCCTAATAGTGGGAATTTTAAGGTGTACCCAGCGAAACTGGGATCCGAACTTAAACTGAAAGCCTTCCCGTTTTACTTTCGACTTTCTCTTTCCCTAAGAACCTCGACTCTCACAAAATCAATCAACTCGCATTTCATATTCATTACCAAATGCCCGACGAACCCTCAAAGAAACAAAAATGAAAATACCATCTCCTGCAACTTTCCTTCTACACATTCAACGAAAGATCCTAAATCGATCACCGAGATCCCGAAACAGAGCGAACGCCGAGGAACGTCTCCGAAATCCGGCGGCCGTCCTTCTCCCCCGCCGGCCCCGGAAAGCAGGAAAGAAGAGTGACGACGCCGGGATCGCGTGGCAAACACGCGGAAGGAGGGTGACTCGGTTGAGGTCGCGCGGGGGTAACACGAGCCGAGTAAACGACCTAGAAGGAACGCGAGCCGGCGAAGGAAACGGACTTCGGAGCCGGGCCATCATCATCGGGCCGCGTCGCGCCGCCTCCGACGAAGAAGAAGAAGCGGCGGGCAACGAGGGAAGGAAAAGATCAAGCAGTGTCGAGACCCCTCGGATTTCCACGGCTTCGCCGTCTCTCCCAATCCTCTTAAAGTTGTATTCTTTTGGCCTCGCCGGCCCTTCGTCACGACCCATCGCGCGGGAGCGGTCGCGCGCTCCGCTCCGCGGAAGAGGCGTCCGAGAAACGAGCAAATCCAATTTCCGAATGCGCGGAGAACGAACCGACCTACCGACCGACGGTCGAACGGACGGAGGAACGGACGGACGGACGGACGGTCGATTTAACATACCCGAAAACGATCGCGCTTAATATACATCTCTATCGCGGATTATCGTCGTTCAGGCCATCTCTAATTCGTTTGATCCCGGGAATCGGGACTCTTAACCTATTAACCGGGTGATCTCTTCGCGCGGTAATCACCCGCGCGAAATATATTCATCCGATTTAATATCAGCCTCGAATATCAACGCTTTTATTATCATTTCTCCGGGGATCGGAGAGCGCGTCCGGGCGGTTACTTCGGTATATTCGTTCTGATCCGGGACTTCTAACCGGGTGATCTTTTCCGTCGTAATCACCCGCGTGAAATATACTGATCCGCGCGGGTTTAATGTTACCCTGATCGCCGTTTTATTGTCATTTCCTTCACATTCCACGGGATATTATAACGTAATTTACTGCGGGAGTATCTTGTAGATAAATAAGCGGGACGCTCGGAAATCGGCGGATGCTAATGATCGCCGTTGCAGTTGTAATCCACGGTCGACGGGTCGATCTAGTTGGCGGTTGCGTTCCTCGCTGGTAACGGCGAGACGGATATCGCGGCGGGAGCGGAAACCGAGGGGCGAATGAATGAAACGACGTAAGATAAAGATGTTACGCTACCATATAATCAACGTTACTATTCGGTACTTCGGACAAATCTTTGGACAGTTGTTACATCGATTTATTCGACGATTGTTTCGAAAATCTTCGCAACGATTGTAAAAGGGAGAAGTAGGATTGACTCGTTTGGTAATATCGATACAGATTAACCCTTTCCGGACGAATGTCTGTAGAGATGAAGTTATGAGTTTGATTAAATAATCATCGGATCAAACGATTTCGACACTCACCTCGCGAGAGCCTCCATGTTCGACATGTTCGGGTTCACCTTCAACCCCTGCTCGGCCCGCGCCTGAGCCTGTGCCTGCAGGTGGTGCGGCAGACTGGCCGGCGACAATATGGCGGTGTGTCCTGCGCCCGGGTGGCCGCCGAGCTGCATGAACTGCATGTGACTGAGGTGGGTGGGCGGGTGATTGTACCCGTTCGCCAGTAACGGGGACTTCTCCATCCTCGGCACGTCTAAAAATCAAAAACAGAAACAATGCAATACCGTTCGACGGGCAAATACCCGAGGGCCTAACAATGCAGCGTCAACAACCGGGGCACAAACGGGAGGCTAACCGAGCTGTCCGCCGCCCGCAAATACCGTCGCGCGCATATTTGCACGGGGATTCGTCGGCCAGCCCGGTGGATTTTCGGCGTTTCGAGGTCTCCGAGAGAGCCGGCCCATATATCTTCGTCACCGTGATCTGGGGGATGATCGGGCGCAAACATAGGACTAGCGCGATCTCCTAACTGTCCCCCATAGTCCCGTGGAACAGCGTTTCTTTCGAATGGGGGACTGCTCGCGCGTCGGAGTAAATAATTGAGGGGTGGCAAGTGAAAGTCCGGAGATGGGAGCTTCAACGCGTCTGGTCAGTCAAAGTTTCAAATGAAACGAACTGGTAACAATAAAATTTTTCGCATTGATCTCTTATCGTCTCATAGATCAAACAGGTTTGCTCGGTACAAGTTTCTACCGCGTACGAAACGTCGAAGTTTCAGATAACTACCAATTGCAACGATAGAACGTTTCTCTACAATGACAAGTAAGACTCGTGATGAAGATTTCTAGACCAATTTTACAACCAATGTTCATTACACACGGATCAAAGCAAACTATTTTGCTTATCAATGTATCATCTCCATTGAAGTTTCTACTTCTAGTAGAATGGAAAATTTTTTCTTTCAAATTGTCGATAGTAAAATATTACACGAGCTTAGTAACGAGAGTGAACAGTATCGCAAGGGATTAAGAAAGCTTTCAACGTCAACCTAAGAATAACGCAACAGTTTAATAAAAATCGCGGTACCGAGTAACAATTATTTTTATATACCTTCGCCACGGAAGAGCCGATCGACAAATAAAACAGCAGACACTTTGATGAACGCTTTAAAGATTCCCCCGCGGTCCAGCCGTATTTCGAATCGCAGCCCGCTAAACGTTTCCCCGGGATCATACGGGATCGAAGGGTCCCGATCTCCACCCGGGCGCGGCGTCGTGGTCGTGCACGGACGACGCCGAAGATGATGCTATTGCGAAGAGGGGCCCGGATTGGGGGGATCGGTTCCGAAGGTGGATAGAAAGGAGGATGGGGGCCAGGGGACAGGCAGAGGTATCGGGGCCAGCCGCGGCAGGGGACGGGGGTAGAAAATGAGCGGTGCCTATTCATTACAAATTATCTAAATGGCAGTGATTTCGGCGGACCG